TTCCATTTCTTTCTTATGCTGGGCCTTCATGGCTTCTATCATGGTCCTGAGCTCATCTATTTTTTTGTCAGTTTCTGCTCTAGAGTCTCGAATCACGACTTCCATTTTGCTCACTATCTCTATGGTTATCTGGGAAATTATTTCTGTTTTGAATTTTTCTAGAGCCTGATTGATCTGTTTTGTTACTTCCTGTGCTTTGAGTTCAGGGTGTCCTGGTGGTTCACTATCAGCCTTTTCATCCTCATTTGCCCTACTGTTTGCCATTGGTGAACTGGAAGTCTCTCCTTGTGTCTTGCTGAAGTGTTTTCTCATTTTAATTTTTGTTGTCAGACTGTCCTTGGTTTAATCTCTGGATTATCACCCAAATCTTCCTGATATAGTTGGGCCCTAGCTGCTGTGTCTCTAACGACCCACAGACATTCTCATCAAATCAACGGCAATGCTTTACCCCAACTGATACAATGAGCAACACATTAAGATCAAGCACAACTTGGAAACTGACCACCTGTGGTAGTCACTAGTCTCTCACCCTTAAATCATTTGAATTAAATTGAAATCAAGAAGCAGTCCAGAACATGTCTGCAGTGAACAGAATTTCAATATAGTATATTTACCATTTAATGGCTCAGACAGAGTGAGGATGCAAGACCCCTGATCTCAGTTAGCTGATTGCTGAACCCCATGACGCTGACTGACCTTGGGCTGCAAGGCCCAGATTGAGTTCCCCATCCTTCTGAATGGTTGAACTCCACAACGTTCTATTACAGGTTTCCCACACCCTTTCTTTAAAGATTTTCAAAGTTGGGAACTCAGAAAAATACCCTTGATGACCACCTCTGTCTTTGCAGAGTGGGTCCAAAGACTGGCACAGTCAGGAGGTCTGAGAGTGTGATGGGGGTGCTTATGGGGGTTCAGGGGTGCGGCTACCTTCCCGCTGCTTGAGCGATGGCGGCTAGGTGGGGAGCAGGCGTGGTTCCTCAGATGTTTTTTTTTTATATTAAAGATGGAATTTTGAAAAATTCTCTGAAGATCTATCTGGTTCTTTTTATTTAGAAAATCAAAGAAATTACTTACATGCATTCGGAAGGCATCCTTGCTGGTGAATTGAAGCATGGGCCTCTAGCCTTGGTGGATAAGTTGATGCCTGTTATCATGATCATCATGAGAGATCACACTTACACCAAATGTCAGAATGCTCTTCAGCAGGTGGTCTCCCGGCAGGTGAGTCACAGGTGGCTGTGAGGACGCTTTGGGGTCAAGTGCTGAGTTATTAGCACTTATTTGAATTTTACTATTAAAATAATAGAGGAGTGCCAGATAGACGACTTCAAAACATGTTTACACTTGATAACTCATTTGCTTTGGAGTACAGACCTTGAGGTCTACGAGGTTTAGAGTTTCGATAGGATCTAGCTCATAGATCTCTTAATAGGTGGGACCAAGACTGAAACTTGGAGGTCATCTCTGGTACTTTCCTTGGGCAAAACTGAAACCAAGACTGAAACTGAAACTGAAACTCTTGGTTTCCAAATTCTGTCTTTTTAAAACTAGTATATGCTGCTTCCTTTTAATTTAAAATTCTTGGGCAGGGGATTTAGCTCAGTGGTTCCACCTCCTGCCTTGCAAGCACAAGGTCCCTAGTTCAATCCCTGGTACCAAAAAAAAAAAAAAAAAAATCTTAAATAATTATTTTCGGAAGAAACCTTAACAGTTCTACATTAATATTATGAATGCTGTTCTTGATATAACTTTCTTTAGATCAGTTTGCTTAATGGATAACTCCCAAAAGATACTACTTCCTAAGAACACCTGCATTTAAGTTTGAGTTTTAAAAAACTATTGAATCTCACAAACCTTTCATTTTCTTCACTGCCTAAGTGAGGTCAATCATGTGAGTTTAAATATGTCCAACAGTAAGGCCATGTGTGGATTGTGCAGTATAAAACTCGTACATTCTTGTATGATAGCCCTGTATTTGCTTCCATGTGATTTTCTTTCTCAGGGTCGCCCTGTTGTAATTTGTGATAAGGAGGATACTGAGACCATTAAGAACACAAAAAGGACGATCAAGGTGCCCCACTCAGTGGACTGCTTGCAAGGCATTCTCAGTGTGATCCCCTTACAGTTGCTGGCTTTCCACCTTGCTGTGTTGAGAGGCTATGATGTAAGTGATCTACCACACAAAAACCTTGGGATTTTTTTTTTAACCTGGCTAAGTTCTGATACTTTTCCTTCCAAATTTTTAACAATAGCATTTGAGAAATCCATCAGGTATGAACCTGTCACTTGTATTTTTATGATCCAAAGATTTGTGTTACATCACATATCTTATTATTTATAGAACTGGAGCGAACCTCAATTCTAAGACTAAAATTCTCCTTGGGCAAACTCTAACTCTTTTCTTAGTATATGGTTCTTAATAAGATAGTTGTTGACATGTGGAGTGGAGCAATTTTCTGTTGTTTGTATTTCCTCCATATATTGCAGGACATTTAGCCCCCAATTATTATGGCAGTGCAAACATTTTGATCTTATATTTCTAGTATCACTTGTGAGGGCTACCACCTTAACCAAGATACCTCTTTCTGTGTGTATTGGCATCTTTAGAATTATTTTTCCTAATGATAAGGTACATTATTTGATTGATTGTATTGTGCAGTTTTTCTTGTTTGTTCTTTTTCTTTATTTGCAGTACTGGGAGTTGAACCCAAGGCCTTATGCCTGCTGTCCTTAACTCCTTTTAAAATTCATTTTGAGACAGGTTCTGACTAAATTGCCCAGGTTGACCTTGAGCTTGTAATTCTCTCCTGCCTCAACCTCCTGAGTAGCTGGGATTATAGGTGCATACTTCTTTGTGCCTAGCTTGTGGTATTTTTTTAATCAGTTTATTATTTATTTATTTTTTGAGATAGAGTCTTGCTATATTGCCAAGTGATCTTCCTGCATAGCCTTCTGAGTAGCTGGGACTACAGGAGTTGATCACCAAACCTAGCTTTAAATAAAGTAATTTACTTATAGCAAACTCCTTTCCCAAAATCTGTGTAATCTCTCAATCTTATTTTTTGCAGGTTGATTTCCCACGGAATCTAGCCAAATCTGTAACTGTAGAATAAAGAGCATCGGAAACTTGGGATGATTAAGCAACATAAGACACCTTTTGTATTTAAAACTTTGATTTGAAATATCACCCCTGGAAGCCTTTTTTTAGTAAATCCTTATTTATATATCAGTTATAATTATTCCACTAAATTTGTGATTTTTTGTGAAATCGCCTCATATTTTTCCAGTACTATGTGGAGGGAATTTGAATAATGAAATCTATATTAGAATCTGTATTCAGGAAGATTTTAGCTGTCATTTTCTTTAGTGAACTGGGTATTGAACTTCTGAGTCCTTCCCTTCCATCTGGGAGGATTATGTTTTTAAACTTTTGTGTTCTTAAGTTTTTAAACTCATTGGCATTTGTTTTAGCAGGCTTCTATTCATTCAGACCAAGGAAAGAGTGGTTCATTTTATTGGAATATCTAAAGACAGTGACAGTGTATGCTAAAACTTGGACATTTACTGAAGGTTTTGCTAAGTTATATGTAAATAGAAGATACTGTGATTTATTTTGAAGCTTGTTTCTGTTTTGTTTTTAAATCAAACTGACAACTTTTCTTGGATTTATATGTAAGTTTAGTTAACCTTATTTCTCATATGTCTTTTATCTGTAAGTGGAAATAATTTAGGAAGCAAATTGTTACAGTGCATTGGTGTTATCCAGCCCTTAATAGAACATAATTATACAGTGTCATAGCACAGACTTTGAATTTGAACTGCTTTAGACAACTGACAATATGATTTTAAATTTGAAAATGGGGTGTTGGATATCCTACTCTTTTGTTTTTTCATCTCCTAAAAGTAGTTTTTATTTCCTTGTGTCTGTAGTTTTTATTTTTAAATAACCGTTGAAGGAGATTATTTATCTTTTTTTTTTTTTAAATCACAACACAAAGCTGCTGTCGAATCAGTTCTGATATAAGTATTCTCTTCAATTTTGTCCCAAGGAGGAATTTTCTGCAGTTAATTTAACTTCTTTCACTTCCTTGTTACATAACACTAATACCCTCGGTGCCAGTTTGGAACTTCCTTGCAATTACTTGGAAGATTTTCAAGTCTTTGACTAATCATTTAACTTTAAATGTGGATGGTAGACTAGGCTCAGAAAGATAATATGCTTTATAGTGTTATTAATGAAGAGTAGCATCAATTGAGTGTTACTTCCTAGGTATTTTTTTCTGAATGTATTTTCTGTGTTCAACTCCTGCAATTAATATAGGAATGAAGATGATATTGATATGCATTCAGTTAGTTGGCTAGTGTTGATTTGACAGTTTGGATTAAAATAGTGTGATACCCCTAATGTGACTAATAATTTCTTCACAGAGCTTTTTGGGCCAGATCTTGGGGCTACAGAAGAATATATGTTATGGGGTTATAATTTGGTTTAGTCCTTTTCTTTGAAAAGTTTTCACTTTTAATTGTGAAGGTGAAATATTTAGCATGATTTGTAAGCTCAGGCATGTCTTCTTTTTGTATTTGAACTTCTTGATGAGGTTAAGATGTTGTGATAGCTATTATTGCTGCAAGAAAAGCACAGAATTCTGCTTGTGTTTGAGGGTTAGAGAAGGAATTAACATTTTGAGGTAATATGCAAGGACGTTCAGTGTTGAAGATAGAAACCTAATTGTTTTAGAAGATAAGGTAAGGTCATTACTTATATCTGTTTAGCTACTATAGCTACTCTTAACTATTTTAATTGTTTCTAAGATTATTTTGTATAAGCCTGCTAGTTTTAGTATGTGTATACTAGTGTCACTTCTTATGTATGGTATAATAGCTTTTGACACACAAATTGTATGGATTTGTAGGATTTCTTTTAAATTATTTTATTGAGATAATCTTGTGTATCATTATGTGATACAGTATAGTATTTTATTACATTTACATATTGTGAAATGATCAACTCAGGATGCTTAGGTTATCTATCATTTCAAACATTTATCATTTCTTAGTGATGAGAACATTCAGAATCCTGTCTTGTAGCCATGTTGAAGTACTCTTCAGTATTGTTGACTATAATAATCAGTGTAATAGAATGCCAGAACTTATTCTTCCCATCTGGCTGTGACTTTGACTTTGTATCTGTTGACCAGTCTGTCCCTCCCCACAGACACTCCAAGCGAGGGTATGTTCTAAACTGACTATAGACCAAAATAAAGAACAAAATAGTATTTCCAAATAAATACAGTTTTTCTTCCCTCTGTTTTGCTTTCTACCCCATTTTAATGTAATGATTTTTAAATGCTTTTATAGACTAATTTTAATACAAAAATATTATAATTAGTCAAGCCACTGAGTATGCCAGCTAAAATCACTATAATATAGGATGCAAAAATGAATTTTCAAAACTATTCTCTGCAAAAATATTTCTTTATATAGAAAGTTCTGTCTTGTAGTGCATCTGAAGTTTAAATTCACTCACATATTTTACCCCATGACCTTTTTTAGGCAGGTGGACATGTGTTGTATCTAATGCATGGCCCAGTAAATGGTTATTACTTTGGAGTTAGCTTTTCTGTTTTTTTAAATCACCAGAAATAAAGACCATGGAAAAATTAAAGTTAATTATTTTTAGTTTATCACAGCTGTTTCAACAGGTGTTTGTTAATTACCTATTATGAGCAAGTCACTGTTCTAGACATTAAAAATGAAATCCTTAGAGCCACATCATTTTGCTCCCAAGTGGACTCATCATTTGTGAAGACCAGGTTCACAGGAAGGCACAGGGTAAGAGTGGGAAGGTGGAAGTGAGCTGAGTTTTTAATGCTGTGAGTGAGTGGATTTGTTTACTTAAATAATAATCCAAGTTTTGGAATATATTGTTTCATAAGTAAAATGCACTTGTCAGTAAGTTATCATCACAGGCTTTAAACAACACATTGTCTATGGTACTCTTAGGACAGCACAAATTAAAATGCAAAGATGAAAAATAAAGGTTCCTGCTCCTCAGAGGGAACTGGCACAGCATGATATGCAGACTGGCTATTGATTGAGTGAGGTAGTACAAGCTTTTTTGTTTTAGCAGGTAGCTTCTGTAATGAAACTGTCATTTTTTTTTTTTTTTTAATCCAGGTCTCTTGTCCTGATTTCATTCTGTTTTTGACTCCTTGGTAATAGTCCTCTGACATTTATTTCTGTTACTTTTCAAAGAAAGAAAACCAACTGAAATGTTTGCTTTTTTTTTTTTTTTTTTTTTAGTTAGGATACTCTATAGCAATAAAAGAGGAAGACTGATGTTACCTATTGATTGTACGCTACAGTTTGATTTTTTTGTAAAAAAAGCACAATGTCTTTGAGAAGTATTTATTGAAAATCATAGTTCACACTGAATTTGGGGAGGCCAAAGAAGTTGAGTAGAATGATAGATACTTGTTTTACGATATCCACATGTTTAGTATATTTTGTGTATGAGACTACCAAGCTGAGTATTTTCCCCATGGAAACAGATTTAAGATTGCCTTTGTTTTTACTGTTACTAGAGTTTCAAGTTTAGAAGTTTCAACTCATAAATCATTTTCCCCCATTATATTTAAACATTATTAGTAAATATTGCAGTATCTTCCTAGCTTAAATTTGGGACAGTGACAACCCAGTCATATCCAGAGTTAAAATTAAAATTATAGTTAACTCACAAAACTGTTAAATTTTACTTTATTAACCTGTGAGTCTGTAATAGTTTGGTATCAAAATGTTATGTAATAAACTGTAATGGCTAATGAGAATATCGTAGGAAATTCTCAGATTACCTTGGTTTTCACAACGAATATAGAAATGATTTTGTTAGCTTTTTGAGTGTTCTGTGGTTGTATGTGTTTTTCCATAAATAAAACTTCAGATATTTAAATTATGCTTTTGGGGAAGGGGTTAGAATTATCTTTGCTTTGTTTCTGTTTTGTGTTCTTTAAAATGAAAGCTTAATTTTCAGAGCTAGTTGGTTATTTTGTCCTCTTGTCTTGTTAAGTCCAGTGACTAAGCTTGAACTGTGAATAAATTAACCAAAAACTTGCTGAGAATTTCATTTTGAAGCAATTTGCCAATATTTGAAGTGTGTACATAAATATAGTTGTTTTTAAAATTGTGCTGTACTAAGAATATAGCCAATGTTTTACATTAGTTATTAGTAAACATTTCTGATGCTAAAAGTTTTATTACTGTTGCTTTTAAAATAATTATAAATAAGTAAGTGTAAGCATAAATATTAAAAGCCACATGTCTCTGCACCAGATTCTCAATTGTTCTGGAAAGGATCATTAGATATGGCTATGTACTCTTTCTAATATCATACAAATTACCTTAATTTTTTGTAAAAATCTGTTGGTAGCAAATTTCCAGGGTTATGCTAGGATCAAAATTAAAAGTGCATTGATAATTGTAAAAGAAAAATATATATGGAAGTGACAAGACAATCTAAAGTTTCAGTGTACCTGTCAATCTGTTAATTATAGAACGAAGATCCCCTTTACAGAATCCTTTTATGAACAGCAGGCTAGACTCTTTCCCTAGTACATATTGCATTTGCTCTGTTTTGTAGGCAACTCTTAGATTAGGGTGGTTTGAAGGAATGGATGTGCTGTTTGGTCTGTCCACTCAGTGAAATCTCTGCACCCTCTCCTTCCTCCCCTTCATGCCCACACTCTCCCTCTGCAGCAAAGCATCAGATTGCCTCACCAGTGTGCATCATTTTTTCCACAGGCTACACTTCTGATATAAAATTGAGCTTTACGTCTACTGAACAGTTTTCTGTAAATTCTCCTAAATTGACTCTAAGTCAAAAGAGCAAGAAATAATTTCTCTAAAAATTAAAAGGCCTCTTTTCATCAAGTGACCTTAAGAGAAAAAAACAATTCTTTAAACTTTTTAGATAAGGGAAAGAAGTACAAATTAAGTTTCTCATTAATCTATAGGCAAATATGTTTCATTTTTTAAAAGTGATATAGGATCATTATAAACTTAATAACATATTGGAAATAAAAACTAATAAAAACTAGTCTTGTGCTTGTATATGAAAAATGATCAGATTATGGGTTAATCAGCTCATCCTTCCTGGGAAGTATACATGTAATAAGATAAATTCATCATTCTCTTTTTGGTGAGCATGTATGCAACAGGTTATTTTTAATATTGAAAGGTATATTTGTGAACTTCATAGTACATGAGAGTCATTGCTCAAATTCTAGGCTTGCATATGTATTTTCTCATAGAGAATGCTGCTGTGTAACCATATTTTCCTTTTGATGTTTCAGAAGACATTGAATTTGAAGTATGGATGTGTAAAAATTTGGAATAAAAAATGGAGTTTTTAAACAGTTAGAGAAATACACTCTGGATTATAGTTGTTCCATTTATTTATCAATCTGCCTTTATATGTAAAAATTTAAAAGTCCATGATAATTATGAGGAAAATAGTGGCATATTTTCATGTTTTTAATTTCTGGCATATAGTGAATGAAATAGAAGCATTCAACAATGCTACCAAATAAGTTGTATAATGAAATTCATAAGCATAAAAATTTAACAGCTGTTGTATATTCTTGGGTTCTTTAGGAGTTAATTTTTAACTCTTGTCAGCTTTTTATATTTTGAAATGGAGGCACATATATAGTGAGATCTTGGGAGGAGAGTTATGAGGATTTCCAAGTGTAGAATACTGAGAATTTCAGATCCATTATACTTAAAGAGCAAATTAGGGAAACAGTATTGCTTACTAACAAACAGCTTTGTCCTTATCTTACATTTTCCTAATTTGTGAGACTCAGAGGTTGATATATGCATTAATAGTATTAGATT